ACGTGTTATTTCTCCTGCTTGACTATAAACTCCTTCTTGGCAGAAACAGTGCATTATACAAAATTAGTCTTATTATTACCTTTAAATAATTGGATTTTGTCCTGAATACAAGAGAATGGGTGTGGCATCTCTTCCCTACCTCAACTTCATCCTCAGATGGATCCCCCAGATAATATATATGTATATATATAAACAAGGAAGTTTTTAAATGAAAAGGTTGGATAGCCCTGCAATGCAGTCTGGGATTATAGGGCCAATTAGCTGAACTTTTCTATAACTAATAACTCAATTGTCTAATTGTTTTTTTACCTAAACTACTGGCATAAGACCAGCATGCTTTTATGTTTGCTCACTAATGGGACCCATCACTGCACATCAAAATAACAACAATCTCCTAAATTCTAACTCACAACTACCAGCTTCCACCATTATCTCAACTCAGGAATATGCCAGGCCTCAGAATCCTCACAGCTGACGAATAAAGACACTGATTAGAACTACTGAAATAGGAAAAACTCCTTGACAAATGTCTCCTTCAAATGCCTGTCTGTCTCTCTGATCCAATGTCAACATCAATTTCTATGTGAACAAATATTTACTGAGGTCATTACTAGGTGTCAAGCTGCAAGCTAGGCTCTGGGGGACACAAGGGTGAGCAGTACACTGGCAATATCAAAGCTCATCACTAAGAAAAAAGTAACTCTTCTGGTTGATTGATGCTACGTATATACTTGTCAAGTGCTTGCCAGGCCCAAAGGCCAGTAAATGATTCAAACATGGCATACAAGGTACATCGGTGCCCTCAAGGAACTTGCAATCTACTTGGGAAAGCAAGAATTAAGAGTACAATAGCATAATAGAGCATCTGATGGTCTAAAGAAATGATGCAGACAAAAAGGGCAGAAGAGGAGGAAGCCCATGAGAGTAACATGAAGAGGGCGGGCAGACCTGAACTTGTGATTAAGTCAGAGGGAAAAGGAAAGGCACTCTAAAAGGCAGATCTTGAACAAAAGGGTAAAAAGTCATCTTCGAAGTCAGTGGGATCCAATGAGTCAGAATAAAGGTTCATGTAGGAGAAGTATAAAATAAAGTTGGATAGTTAAATTTGGGCAAAACTCTGAGGTACATTAAACCAGGCTGAGAGGTCAGACTTCATGCCAAAGGCAATTTTGGGGAACATGGAAAGTATTTTAACTTGTAGAAAGAGCACTAGCTTAGAATCAGATAAACCCGACTCCAACACAGGATTCCTGTGAGACAATCCTTGGAGAAGCGTACTAAGAGGAAGAGTTTTAGGAAGGTCGGTGTGGCAGAAGTGCACACCAGGGGGAACACTCAATCACAGCGAGACCAGGAGGTAGGAGACGGTATCGATCCTAGAACACCGTGATGGCCACAGGCCTGGGCTATCAGGGGGGAAATAAGGAAATCAAAGGGAAGTCGGAGCTGGCTCAGAGAAACGGTCACAAAGGAAGAGTTACCGACTGGATGCCTAGTTTTACGGAGGGAATGAAAGGGAGAGGAGTCAGGGATGGTTCCCAGGTCTCAAGTCTGGGTGATAAAGAGAATGCTAAGGCCATTAAGAAAAGGAAAGTCTTCCCGTTGTGAAAGGAAAAGGTTTAGCAGAGAACATGAAAAATTAGTCATCAGGCAGGAGGCCTCTTAGCCTGACAGCAGGACATCCACTGTGAGAAGTCTGTTGAACAGGTGCATAGTGAGTACGGAGTTTGTGTCTGCGCTAGAGATTAATATGACGTAAGGACAGATGACACCCTCACATTGAAGAATTTTTTATTAGATATACTATTAAACAAAAGTAATAGAAGTGATATAAATAGCAAAGAGAAATCATCTTCACAGACTAATTTCCTTAGATGTGGTAAGTAGAGGATCCTGTCCAGCACCACAACAGGGAACCCATAAACTTCTGTAGGAATTCAACATATGGCCTATTTACATAACAAGCATCACAGCTCCAAATTAGCCACTGATGTGTCAAGGAAATAACACCTTCCCAGCAGACAACTTCAAAAAAGGGAAGGAAAAAAAGGTTTGTTTTCCTTCTATAACTATGTGTACTGGGTTATTAACTGTTTGTATCATGAAAATAATAATTTAATTGCGTGATTACATGGTAAAATAGAATGGTGAGAATGAACTGATCACCTGAATTATGCATAATCATTCAGAGATCAATAAACAGACTCCATCACTTTATCATATTCTATTTCTGCCCTCATGTCCTCCGTCATGTTTATAAAAGCCACTGTTCTGTCTACAAAAATTATAGCAGTCGTATGATTCAATTGTCACAGTCAAATAATAGTAACAGGTCTATGGAAGATGAGTAGGAAAGAAGTACTAAGGAGCAGTGAGTAAGCAGTGCCTGTTTAATGCATTCCAAACCTGCCCCATGCTAATCATATCGTGAGATAGGTGGTAGGAGCTTAGATCTTACCATGAGCAACCTCGACTTCTTCCATTTTATCAAACAAAACCACAAGTTCCTATCCCAGCTCACCTCACAAGACACTGAATAAAATTGTGTAAAAATAGTAGAATGAAGACCACCTAAGCACCTTCAACATAAATCAATAGTCAGTACAAAAAAGCCATAAACCCATAGTCATTATTAATGACAGCACAGTTCTGTGATCAGAGACTGAAACTGAAAAACTGAGAACCAAAAATGAGCTGTATCTCAAGATTAACTTCTGATGAAAAGTATTTCTATTTATACAGCAAAACTGACCTATGAGTGCTTCTGATTGGCAGCACTACAAGACTGCAATGATGTGGCCTAAGCATTTTCTCTCCCTGATCATTTCAGAGATGGCAAAGCACCTTCATAGCTCATAGGTACCTACCCCCACAAGGACCACATGAAAATCAGTGGGAGCACAGAACTGACCGTGAAGACTTTCATCAGGGGCCTCTCTAAAACAAAATGAATACAAAAGGAGTATTGATCCTTTTGCCTGTCCAAATAAGTATATTAAACTAAGTTGGTTCCTAGGAAATCATTGAATATTTTCAGAGGCAGGGATTAAAGAAAGAAAATTACCAATTAATACAGACCTTTCCCAGATGTTGAGTTTTTACTATCCTTTTAAATATTCTCTGCATTCAGGTGATTGTATTTTTTTATGCAAATTATCTGTGGGGCTAGTCTAGTTTGTGTGTGTCTGTGTGTGTGTTTGAAACCACAAAAACACAGAATTTTACAGGCTTCTTGTTCTGCTGCTCCATAAAAATAGGTTTTTACAAAGCTTGAGTTTCATCCAAAACTCTAATTAGAGACTGCAGCAGTAAATGCCTTGTCCAAATAGAAAATCATTCCGAAAGTTGATTTTTCCTCCAGTTAAAGACCCATCAAATATTATCATATACAGTTATTTTTAAACACTAGTTATTTGACAAAACTGCCCCCATCCACACTGCTTTCTGGTTAAGTGATACAATTTTATAAGGCCAATGAAATACTTTACCCAGAAGGCAACTTCAGTTTTTATTTTGAGTATCTTTCAAAATAACTGGATTTGTTACTTGAATATCCTTTTTTTCTGAATAAAGCAATTTTTGAATTCCTATCCTTTTCCCCTCTGCTATATTGCAATCTTTACCTCTAGAAAACATAATCAGAACGGCCATGAATCATTCCATTAAGACAAACTAAAACGATGTCATAAAGGTCACACTCACGACCTGACTCTTTCAAATACTGGCATAAAACCTCTTCTTCTACACAGGTTCTAAAATTTCAGAGTCTTTTTTTTTCTTACTCGTGAAGGAAGGAGTAAAAGTTCCTAATAAAACATTTTTTAAGAATTTAAAATAATCATGTGAAACTATTATAGAATATTTTATGTAAATAAAGAGGCTGTGTTTGAAGTTCACTAGTTCTCAAGCCACAGATTCTGTAATATACTCAAAGGAAAATGCTGTACAAAAAAGAACCATTACAGTGTCAGGTCTCCAAAACCTTGGCATCCACTGAAATCAGGAATGCTGGGAACTGAAAGCTTATGAAGTTCACAAACACACCAACCCCCCAAGAACAGGAAACCTCCACTCGTGTAGATGGGAGGCTTCGGTCGCATCCCTGTCCAGGTAAAGTCTCAGCCCTTCACCTCCTGTGTGTGCATTAAGTACTAACAACCGAACAGAGTGCCAGCGATCAGCAGAGTGCCAAGCCAGCAGGAGAGTGCGAGTGAGCGGTGGAGAGAGCGCGACAAACCCTTCCCGGACCTCGGAAACAACCGCTGTCCTAGGCTTGGTCCGCTGCACAATCCCGAGCCCGGGCCTCTGCCTGCGGACTCCGAGTCTACCCGCCCAGACACCGCAACGCGACCGCTTCGTCCTGCGCGGCCAGGTCGCTTCGCTTCTCCTCCTGTCACCCAGCCTACAATCGCAGCGAGTTCGGGGGCACGGGGCCGATGCATCCCGCTTCCACCCGCGCCCAGGGGCGCAGGGGCCACAATCAGCGGCGGGATGGTCCTGCTGAGGCCGCAGCTCCTCTGCTGGCAGCTGACCGCTGGCGGGAGGGGGTGGGTCGCACTCCGCTCTGCCAGTAGAAGGGGGCGCTCGCGCCGGGGAGGGCAGATGAGGGACCGCGGCGGATTCAGATCCGGGGCGACGGGTCCACGTCGGAGCACAGCGGCCACACACTCGCCCAGGGAGCTCAAACGTGCAGCGGACCTAGAGCCTCCTCCCGCTAGCCTGCCCGCCGGCCGGATCGCGTCAGCCACAGAAAGGAAGGACGGCGACCTCCGCGTCCGGTCCGCGCCGCCGGCCGGCGTCGGCACCGAGCTGGGCCACACCCAGCGCCCCAGGAGGCAGCGGGGGGCTGGGCGGCCCAGGCTGCCGAACCTGCGACCCGGACTGAGCCGGCGTCGCAGCAGCTCAGGCCCCGTCGCGTCTGTCCGAGTCCCGTGTCCCTACTCGGCCCCAGAGGGCGGGAAGGGAATCCCAGGCGGCTGTGGCCAGGGTCCCGGGCTTACCTCTGTGCTGATCGCCCGGCACTCTGTCCTGGGCCGGGGACCAGGATCGGGGGCGCGGTCGCTGCGGGGGGAGGCACAGCGGAGGTGGCGGCCCCAGCGGCGCGGAGGGCGGGCTGAGAAGGAGCCGCTGCCTGGGCCGCGCGTGCGGTCCGGAGCTCGCCCCGCGCTGCCGGCGCTCGCGGCGGAGGGCGCAGCCTGCTCAGCCCCCGACTGGATTCCTTCACTGACACAACTCCAGGTCGGCCGGCTCCACGCAGGGACACTCCCGCCCCTCGCAGGCTGCCCCCGCCCGCTGGTCCGCCGGCCAGCCCGCCCCTCAGTGTCACTCACCCAGGCGCACACACCCCGAGCCGGCGCCCCTCGCTCCCGCTCGCACACACAGCTCTGCTCACGCCTCTCGGGTTTTGTATCCGCTCACACGCACGTTCTGACACAGATCCCTTCCCTCCACACGCCCTCCCTAGCTCCTTTCCCACCCCACTTTCTAGAAGAATCCCCGTACAGCTTCCGCACTTTGCTTGTTTGCCCCACACCAACCGCCTCGTCTTTCCCCAAACCTCCACCTCACTTAAACTGCCCCTGTTATTGAAAGATTTTTGTCTCAATCGACACGTGTTGCAGGAGAGGCATCCTCCCATAGCCAGGAGAATGAACTTTGCTCCCCCCGCCCCTCCGCACTGTCTACAGATGCAAGATACTTTTCCTTTTAGAAGGTACTAATGGTTTCTGGGGCTGAGCCAAGCTCCACATGTAAACAAAGAGAGCGGATTCCGAAATGATGTGAAGAACTAGTCACGGAAAAAGTACTGGGACTCGGATGTGACCCCAGAAGCCCCGCTAACCCGGAGTGTTCTGGCCCCTCCCTTCCGCTGCCCGTTCACACTGGGCTTCTGCAGACGGGTTGCTCTAAACGTATGTAATAAACAAGTTCCAGATCGACACACAGGCATCAGCCCATGGGTTTCTGCCTGGGAGTACAGTAGTCGGGAGAGTAAAGGCAGTTTCTCAATCATTATTCATGATAGAAGCACTTTAGATAACACACCTCTTCTTCCAAAGGCAGTAGAGTGAAATACAGGCAGCTCTCCAGTTCAGTTTCTTTCCCCCTTAAAGGATGAGTTCTTAGCCTCCGTTTTTTTTCAATACCATAACTGTTTCTGAGTGCCTCCTTGGATATCAAAGTCCCTTACAAATATCAGACCATAGTTGTTGATGTTTCTCATGCTCCAAACTCGAAGAAGCCCCTGAGTGTACAGCAGAATGGTGTTATCACCTGATGCTCAAGAATCATAATTTGAAATAAAATAAAAACTCCTTTCTGGCAAAATTCAAATCTGCTAACATAGCGTGGCCCGGTTGACAAAGCACAGCCGTGATAGGAAATAGAGGGGCTAAAAGTAAAGGAATACATTTTCTTATGTGACTTGTGGTGGTGGTTCTTGCTACACTGGATGGGTGTGTGGATCATGTAATTTATTTAACGAGCATTCATAAATGCTTTAGAAGAATTAACTTCCTTTAATCCTTCAAACCTTTTAGGTATGCACTTCTTTTGTCTGTTTTTACAGATAAAGAAACTGAGGCACAGAGAGGTTAAATAACTTGCCTAAATTTTTAATAATTAGCCAATAAATGATGGAGGGAGGATTGGAACCTACATAATTCGGCCTTGCCTATGCTGCAAATAGGAAAACTTGCTTCTAGAAGCCATATGATATGTAAATATAAAAAATAAACATCATCCTATTGCTGATTAATTTAGGTGGAAAAGGTAACTTGTAACAATTTGACTTGGAATTTGATACACTTTTTAGGCTCTCTGGCAGTATAATTTAAATTTTGGGGGGTGTCCTCCCATAATTAGGATTCCAAAATAAACAATAAATTATTGCTTTCCTGAGAAGGGTTTTGGAAATAACACTAAGCTCAGTCTTCTTTTCTTTCTCCTATAAATTTATAATCTTGCCAGGATTCCAAATCTAACTTGCTTCGTAAAGTCTGAAAGAAAAACGCTTCCAAGAACTGGATATGACTCACAGGGAAACTCACAGGGAAGAGTTTTCTGAAGCCCACACATGACCTTTTACATTTGAGGGCTATTTCCCAGTTAGTGGGTAGTAGCCATAAGAAGAACTGATACGTGTGTTGAGAGAAAAAAGGTTAAAGCATTGAGTTAATGACAAAAACAAATAGGAGTGTAGCAGCAGCCACTGTACCACAAAGGAGACTAAAATGACATCTCTACTGGGAATGGTGGCCTAGCCTGTAAAAAGATAACTATAAAGTAACTGAGGGAAATAATTATAGCTTTCAAGAGTTAGCTAAGGGACCTAGCAAAAGAAATAAGACTTTTGAAAGTTTCATAGAGAGCGTGTTTCAAGACAAACTTAAATCTTTCGCTGTTTAAGTTAATTTGCTCTGGAAAAAAATGAAAATTTCTGTTTCTTGGAGAGAGGGTTTAAAATGCATATTGAAAGGTATGTAAAAACTTCTTGCACATCAATAATTAACAAAGCAGGATTTTGATAAGTTAAGGGAAGTGATTTTAAAAACGTGAATTATATTCTGTAATTACACCGAGATATGCAAATCCAAAGAAATAGAATATGAAAAAATATGTATTATTGTTGGCATTAGATATTGAAAACTTATTTGAAAAATTACAGTATTTAAAATTTTTATCAGGAGGTTATCTGTCTAATGGTAGCATAATTCTCTTGTTCAAAATGATTCTTCATGGTTATAATCCGTGAATCTCTTTTTACTATTTTACTAACTGGAAAAATGAGGCTCCTTTCTTAAGCAAGCAAACAGTATACTAGTTTATATGTTTTAATATTTCCATGATGTTTTTTAATCTGTGACTGCTGCTTTCCCCCACATTGTCCCCTACGCCCTTCATCCAACGTGCCTAAATGTGAGCCTGGCCGAACAGGGACGTGTCTTTCAACGAGGCTGACTTTCCCTGCAGTACTGGTTTCGGCAAAATGCATATTCTCTGCTGCTCACCCTAGATCGTGCTGTGCTCCTGATTCTCTAGGCATGGTCATTCAGAGCAGGGTTCACATCCATGGAAGCAGCTCAGATCTCAGAAGCCTGTTTTCGGCCATGGTCACATGTCTGTATTAGAATCTCAGCATCTGAATCAGTGGTGGGAGCAGAGAGCGATTTTAGTTGCTAGGCTCCAGACCACTATTCATTCAGACCTGCTGGGGCGTTTGTCAACTACAGTTCCTTGACTTTGACTGGGTGCTAACCACTGGGTGCAAGGACTGGGTGAAATCTGAGTGACCTCCCATAGGCAAGCAACGAATGTGGTCTATGTCCGTGAGTGCGGTGTTCATTTGGGCTGCTGTTCACAAATATTCCAGCTCTGCTTCCTTTGAAGCACATGATAGAATTGCACTTCCCCACCCTACTGAAGTACAGTGTAGTTCTGTTTCAGCCAATAAAAGGTGGATGGAAGTGATGAGCTGTTTGTTCTGGGCAGAAGTTAAGAACTAGTGCATGCATCACCACATTCTCTTTTCCCTCTAGAACTGCAGCCAACAAGGTGTGCCTGGTAGTGGCTGATCCATTGGACTGGAGTGAATGACAATAATGAGCAATTCCACCTCTACTACTCCTTATGGATATGTAGTATGAATGAGAAATAAACCTTTGTTGTTCTAACCTACTGAGATTTAGGGGTTGTTTGTTTCTGTAGCATAATCTAGCCTATTCTAATTAAAAATCAGCAGTAAAAAAGAAACAAATAATTGCAGGGCACACCATGACAGAGAATGGCTAATAAATCTACAAATGTGTTTCTTTTTTTCCCTGGATACACAACTAATTCACATCTTCCAGCCTCCTATGTAGAGTATTTTGCTGTGTATAATGCTCACATTTCTGCCCAAATTTCTGAGGAAAAAATAAGGATGCATATTATACATAGGTAGTACTTATTCTGTGTCTGTGTAAATGTTTTTAATTCTTTAATTATGCTTATGCATTAAAAGTGTACTTTAGAAGGCAATAACAATATCCGTATACAAAATAATACCCTGAAATACGATAATTGGTTTTGTAGTACCAAACTTCTTGTACCTTGTATATGTTCTTGTGTTTTGTAATTATTTGTCACATAAATTTTTGTACTGTAATATGTTCAAAAGTAAACACTAAAATTCCTCTATAATACAAAAAACAAGTATCTAAATGTAAATAAATAAAAACTTGAATTAAAAAATTAAAACGAAAGTTTTTCCTGAAAGTTTGGGCCAAAAGCATGGGTGTGCATTATACATGGCGAAATATGGTAGTTAGGTGAAGTCAAGTGACTGAATTCTGACCAATGAAATGTAGATGAAAACTTTGTACTCCACTTCCAGTTCCCAACCATGGAAAACCTCTGGCATGATCTCTCTTCTCCACCGGCTATATGGAAACTAAGGAATCTGAGACATCAGAGCAGAAGCCAGCAAACTTTTTCTGTACAGTGCTATATATATAGTAAATATTATAGGCTTTGTGGGTCATTGGTCTGTACTGCAACTACTCAGCTATGCTGTTTTATAGGAAATCGGTCATAGACACTATGTAAACAAATGGACTTGGTTGTGTTCCAATAAAACTTTATTTACAAAAACAGGCAGTGGGTTTGTGTCGTGGCATGCAGTAATTTGTTGACTCCTTACCCAGAGGAGGGTAGAAACACAAGATGAAAAGGGCTCTAGTCTGAGTCACTCTGTGGTGTCTACTTGTTGAAACCCCACATTGAAATGTTCATAGAAAAACAAAAACAAAAACCTGTTGTATTAAGTATAACTAATGTACTATCTTAGTCCATATTTCAGGGGGGGAAATCCAGAGGGATTAACAATTAAACAAAGAAAACTATAAAAGACTGACTAAAAGAAAATACAGGAGATTTTAAATAATATTGGTTATCTTTATAATACTAGTCAGAAATATTATGATTAAAGCTCCAGAAACTATAACAGATAAGATTAAACATATTTGACTAAAAAAAAATCCCACAACATTTCTATACAGTGAAGGGTACCATAAACAATTTTATTTAATGGAAGCAATTATATGCAGCACATACACAACAGAAAGGAATTAATATGCAAAATAACAAATAGCTTCTAAAAATCAAGATAAAAAAAAGAAACCACAAAATAAGGAGATGGACCCAGGATAGGAAGAGGTAATTCTCAAAAGAAGGAATATGTGCTAGTAAGCATATAAAAACAAACTCAGCCTCACCAATGATCAGAGTATAAATAAAAAAAATAGCATTTTTGGACCGCCAGTCAAGATGGCGGCAT